TAAAATGCTGTTTACTCACCAATTCACTCATCCGTTTTCTAAAAATGATCCTGTTTACTCACCCATTTATTCATTTTTCAAAAATGATGCTATTAAATTCTCTCACTCCTATTTACTCACCCATTCTCTCATCCGTTCTAAAAATGATGCTATTTACTCACCCATTCAACTCATCCTGGTTCTAAAATTGATGCTATTTACTCACCCATTCACTCATCTGTTCTAAAAATGATGTATTTACTCACCCATTCACTCATCTGCTCTAAATGATACTATTTACTCACACCCATTTACTCATCCGTTCTAAAAATGATGCTATTTACTCACCCATTCCTCATCCTTCTAAAAATGATGCTATTTACTCACCAATTCACTCATCCGTTCTAAAAATGATACTCTTTACTCACCATTCACTCACCTGTTCACGTATTGACACTGACGATAAACCAAATTCAGATGATAAGGAAACTGTCGTGACCTCTTAAGATGGACTAAGAATTCGCTTAATTAGTCTCTGGTCCTTAATTAGTCTGGTCTTTAATGGCGGTGTCTTGATGATCACGAAATTAAACAATACAAGTATAAAAATACAATAAAAATTCTTCAAAGAATTGGGTCTTTGAAGGTTAAAAAGGGGATGAAATAATTAAGTCAATTGCTTCGATAAGGATAAGAAAAAAAGAAAGAAAAAGAGAGAAAAAAGAGATAAAAAGATATTCAAGTATGAATTTGATAAGAAGGAAGGTAAGTGGAAATTAAGATAAAGGAAGAAAAATAAGTGATAGTGATATTGTGAATGGTGATGGTGGCTGTAGTGATAAAGGTGATGATGATGGTTTTGTTTTAGTAATGATGGTAATTGTGATGATGATGATGATGGTGATGATGATGATGATGATGGTGATGGTGATGATAATGATGATGGTGATGATGATGATGATAACAACGATGATGATGATGATGATGATGATAATGATGATGATAATAATGATGATGATGATGATGATAATATGATGATGATGATAATGATGATACGATAATAATGATGATAATGATAATGATGGTGATGATAACAATGATGGTGATGATGATGATGATATTGATAATGATGATAATGATGATGATGATGACTGCTTCTTCTACTTCCCCCATCTACCCTTCTCTCCCCACCCTTCCCCAACTACAAAACCACTTTATTACCACAAAAAAAGAATTATATCTCGACCACAAAAAACAATTATTTTTCAACCACAAACCTTCTCATCAATAAAACCACAAAACTTCTAATCAATCAACTATAAAACCACTTATCCACCACAAAACCTCTTATCAGTCAACCACAAGACTACTTATTTCTCAGTCACAAAAACACTTTTTCTCAACTACAAATCACGTTTCTCAGCCCAAACGACTTATTATTAATCACAAAACCACTTATTTCTCAACCACAAAAAGACTTATTTCTCAACCACAAAACACTTATTTCTCAACCAACATTAACCACTGATTTCTCTACCACAAAACAACTTATTTCCCAACCACAAAGCATTTATTTTTCAACCAATTAACCACTTATTTTCTCTACCACAAACACAACTTATTCCCCAACCACAAAACCACTATTCCACCACAAAACCACTTATTTCCCAACCACAAACCACTTATTCTCCAAACAACCAAACCCACTTATTTCTCACCACAACACAACTTATTCCCAACCACACCTTACAACCACAAAACCACTTATTCCCCAACCACAAAACCACTTATTTACCATTTACCCTTCACCACTTCACTTCAGCCTCCCTCTTCCCTTGCAGTGTCGCATCAGCTACGTGGACCCCGTGTCAAGTGCCATCAGCCGTCGGGAAGAACTGCACAAAAAGTGGTTCTTTTTGGTGTGGACTGCAACTTTGTGTGGCGATGCTGAGAGGAAGGCCCTGGAGACGTCAAATGAAATGTGGTGAGTCTGTTGGAGGGGGGGGGGGGGGGGGATTTGTGGTGAGTGTGGTGATGAGTTGGGGAGTTTTTGGCTTGTGTGTGGTATGTGTGTGTGTGTGTGGTGGTGGTGGGGGATGATTAATAGTCTTTGGCTGTGTGTGTGTGTGTGTGTGTGTGGTGTGTGTAGGTTTGTTTGTGTGTTGGTGTGATAGTAGTGAGTCTTTGGCTGTGTGTGTGTGTGTGGGCGTGTGTGTGGTGTGTCGTGTTGTGTGTGGATGCATAGATGATGTGGACTGGGAGATCAATATGTTGTTGTCGTTTTTATATTATTTATGGTTATTTATAGACGAACCATATAATTATGTACTGATAAAAAGGATAATGAAATAGATATAGTAAAGAGTGAGCTACGGAGTGTGTTGTGAGTAACTATGCTACGGGAAAAAATGTTTTGAGGGAAGTAAGACATGTACATAAAGAAATAAGAAATATCCATGATGTTATTAAGCATTCGGTAGTCCAAAATGTACCATTATAGTTTTGGAGTTAGTATTTCGAAATAATTATAATGTTCTAAAATGAACATTATGAGAAGAGGGACGGCAATTTGGCACGAATTCTTGGTGTTACTCTCTCTCTCCTCTCCTCTCCTCTCTCTTTCTCTCCTCTCGCTCCATCCTCTCTCTCTCTCTCTATCTCTCTTCTCTCTCTCTACGTCTGCTCTCTACTCTCTACTCTATCTCTCTCTGTCTGCTGCCCCTTATCCCTCTCTCTCTCTCTTAACTTAAAAAGTGGAGTGGTGTCGAGTCACTCATTTACAAAACAACGAGGACTGTAGTTACTTAATCATGTCTGTGTCAAACTCACGGCACTGCAGACGCATCATAGCATTCGAATAAGTGCGCAGATCTCCCCCATCAAACAGCCATTGGCCAATCTCCCCCTGAATCTGTATTTAGACTTCACACACGTATCCATGAAGGAAACCTGAGATGTGTTGATTCATGTGCAGTAGATAGAGGAGAGATGACCTTACTACCTCTTGAGAGCAGCCACGGTAAGCGCCCCAGAACAAATACGCGACCACTGATTGATACGAGGATCGATAGAAATTCTTGGACGAGAGAGAACACGCGAAGGGTGATGAGTGAGTGATCAACGGCGGAGCGCTCTGTAGAGCACCGACGAGAGGAAGAGCCTGGAGTGACCCGAGACTGAGAGAGAGAGAGAGAACACAGACAGACGGAGAGAGAGAGAGAGAAGAAAGAGAGGCGGACTCGAGAGATGAAGAGGGAGGAGACGAGTAAATCTAACGAATGGTATTACAGAAGATGATATTCCACAAGTACCCCTTACTTACAATGAGTGTGTGTTGTTGTGCCGTGTGTATAGGGCGAAGCTAACTGGTGATGGGACCCCGGGAGAGAACCAGAGAAGGATCAGAAGATCGAGAGTACGAAGCAGAGAGAAGAGAGAGAGACGAGGAGGACGAGAGATGACGAGAGAGCGAGCGAGAGAGAAGAGAAAGACGAGAGGAAATCAGTAAGGGAATTAAAGTTAATTACCAACACCACGACCCCAAGTACTCTACAGAGACGATTAGTGTCCATGCAAGAAAACGGTCTAACCAATATCCATAATAACATATGGCGATTGTGCCACAATGACTATGCGGAAAGAAAAGAAACGTGTCATCTATCCTTAATTTTATGTGAAAATGCCAATCGGTAGTTCCCATCTAATAAATAATATACCTATAACATCAAGATTGTCATCTAGTCGTTCCGGCAGGGGAATCTGACACGCTGGTACTGGCTCACAACACCTACTGCTAGTTAAGCTACCAAAGAATGAACGCCCATCCAGAAACAGCAGGCAAGTGAATATAAGATATAAGTGAATAACTTATCAAGAGATTTATTTCACCTCTCAATTCATGACGCCTGAGGAACGCATCTCAGAGCGCTTAATAAGAAGAGGTGTCTTGCCACTGAGATCACATCGAGTTGACTATTGTGATGAATAGTTATCTGAATTTGCTACATACTTCTCTCCAGGATATTTATGGGTTAACGCACGCGTGCATGATGAAGGTTTTTGCTAAATCTCTGTTTTTGTCCCTTTCTCTCATCTACTCCCTCATTCTCGATCGCCGCATGTCACTGTCCTTATATCCCTTTTGGACGCTTAACCGTGCCAGGCCGCTGCGAGACCTATCGGTGCGGTCATACCACACCCCACACACTACGCTGCAGCACTGCGACCTACAATCCTCTCAACCTATCACAAACAGATCGTAAAAGTTTCTATGTCTCTCTCTCTCTCTTGCTCTCTAACAGATTTCTACTTGACCCCTACTCTATCCGATGATAATATCTCCTTCAGCTAACCTCCGAATCACACGCCAATAGAACGCATCTATTTACTATCTTAACATTCTGCGCTCCTGCTGCGTTATGTCAAGTCATGCCTCTCTACTTCTCTCTCTGTCTCGTAATCCCTACACAATACCTCCTCCTCCATCTCCTTATCTCAACCTACCTCCCGTCCGGTGCGACTGACACCGATCTAGGATCCCAACAACAAGCTCTACCATCCCTCCCAGAGTTCTGCTCTGCTGATTATACCCTCTCCTTCTTGGCTCTGCTCCTCTCTACAATTCTATCTGTCTCTCCTCTTCTCCTCCTTCTCTTTCCTTCTCTGCTCCTCTCATCTCCTGCTCTCTCTCTCTCTCTCTTCTCATTCCTCTTTCTTTCCTCTCCTACTTCTCCTCCTCTGCTCTACATCTCTCTCTCTTTCATCTCTTCCTCGTCTCTCTCTCTCTTATCTCCTCTCTCTCTCTACTCTCCTCTCTCTCCTCTTCTGCTCTTCTCTCTCTCCTCGTCTCTTCTCTCTCTCTCCTGTCACCCTCTCTCTCTCTCTCCATCTCTTTCTCTCTCTCTCTCTCTTGCTCTCTAATTCTATGTCTCTCACTCTCTCTCTCTTTGCTCTCTATTCTCTTCTCTCTTCTTCTCTCTCTCTCACTCCACCATCCAATGCACTCACACATACAAACCTCCGGGGAGACTCCTGCGCTCTATCACTTTACCTCTATTCTCTTCTCTCTTCTCTCTCTCTGCTTCTCTCTTTTCTCGTTCTTCCTTGCCTCATTCAGTAATCTCTGCGTGTTCGTACTCTCTCTCTCTCTCCGCTTTCGTTGTACCCCCTCGAATGCTCTATCACATTTACTCTACACTCTCTCTTCTCTACCATACATCCTACTCTCATCTCCTCTCTTTCTTGTTCTCTCTCTCTCTCTCTCTGCCTCTCTCTACGTCCTCATCGTCTCTGCTCTTCGCTCTCCCTCTCTCGTCCCTCTCTTCTCTTCTTTGACTCTCGTTACGTGCTCTCTAAGTTCTCTCTCCTCCTCTCTTCTCTTCCTACTCCTCATCTCTCTCTCATCTCCTCTCTCTCTCTCTCTCTTTCTCTCTCTCTCTCTCTCTCTCCTTTTCTTCATCTCTACTCTTACTAAATCGGCCTAGTACTCATATCTACTTCCTATCTCCCTTATCCTCATACTACTATGCACATTCTCGATTTCGTCAGCATTCTTTTCTCGTTTTCTTGTATGTGAAATTAATGCGCGTTTACTGTATCCCTATTATTACGTACATTCATAACACATGGCACACAATACACATGCACACACAATCACAAACGCACACACACGCCTAGCCATCACACACATTATACAAAACTCTCTCTCTCTCTCTTATCCTCACACCATTTACACACACCAAACACACACACACACACACACACACACACACACGCACACAGACAGCGACACACACTACACACACCAACACACGGGTAAGGACACCCCCTCCACAACACACACACCGGCGCGCACGACGAAAGACACCGACCTCCTCACACACATCCACACACATCACACACAACACACACACGAAAGGCACCCCAACCACACACCCGATGTAACACACACAGCACACGCACACAAAGACACACACCCTTACACTACACCGCCTCCAGCAATTCATTACCACAAGTTCCCAGCCTGCCACCGTAACGTAACTGCTTAGTGGCTTTCCTCGGTCACCCTGCTTAAAGGGGCAAAATACGGCACTTACAGGATAACACACCCACGGCACGGTTCACGGATACCAACAACTCCGCGACGCCTTATCAAAGTAGCCTGGAACCTGGCGATACCTACCCGCTGCTCTTTCTTCGAGCACTCCACAGCCAGGAACATCCGGGGACTCTGCGGCTCCGGAGTCGGAATATAACTACGGAGAACCGAATTCCCGCTGCTTTAGGTTTGTGTGTTGTGTTTGTTTTGTTTTGTGTGAAATGTGGGGGGAGGGAATGGGCGGACGGGAGGGGAGGGTTGTTAATTTTGTTTGGTGTTTTTTGTTTGTTGTGGGTGTCCAGCAAATCAATTCTCTTATGTGTTTGTGTTCGACTGACTTGTTTTTGTTGGGGTGTTACAACCTATGTGGGGAGGAATTGGGGGGAGAGGAGATGAAGGGTTTATTTTACTTTTGTTTGTGTTCTCTTGCTTTAATGTCCTAGTGGTGGGATGCACGGGGATTATGGGGGGGGGAGCATGGTGGTTCATACTTATTTTGTGTGTGTGTGGGATAGTCTTGTTTGTGTGTGTACTGTTTTGATTTTCTGTTTGCTTGCGTGTTATGTAGTTTCGTCTTCTCGTTGGTATGAAATGGCGTACCACTTGCGTGCGTTTGCGCGACCCTCGGCCCGTGTCTCTCCTTTGCACCCCCCTCCCCGCTCATTTTTCCTCTGACGATGCGTGCGCTGGCGTGCAGTAGGTGGATTCCGCGTAAATTAGCGTGGTGCGTCCACATTTCTTGATTTCATTTGACTAATATCCCTCGATATTACCTATATAGTAATATATATATAATAATATATTAATCCTAGGCTTAGGGCTTAATGTACATAACTATTAGATATTCATACCCCTATAGTATATATATCGCCTGCTACTTTCTCTACTTCCTATCCGCTACTCAATCTCTCTTCCCTCATCCCTGGCTTCTCTCTCTGTCTCCTCATGATACTCTATCTTAGGGTGAACTCTCTAGTTATCTGGTGATGGATACCATTAATCACATCTATCTCAATTTATCTATCTATCTTTCTATCTCTCTCTCTCGGGCACGCCATTTTCGTCCAAAATCCCCTTTTTTTACTCTTCTCGGACTCTCTCTCCTGCTTTTCTTTTTTTCCAGTGTTCAACTCAGCCGCTGCAAAGGAATTAAAAATCTATGCTGGGCTTTCAGTTTGTAAATGGCCTGTCCGGCTTCTTTTAAACGTTTTCCCCAGCGTTTCCCTTTTTCCTCTCTTGAGCAAATAAAAAAATAGTTTATTGCATTAATATGGCCAAGTTGTTTGATGTGAGGGACAAAGGCTCAGAAGTACTGTAATGTCTCTTGTTTTTGTTTTTAATTTCTTTTGTTTTTCGTTGTGGTTTGTTCTAATGTTCCGAGCCTTGTGTGTTTGGATGGTGGTGTTTGTGTGTGTAGTGTGTGACTTGTTGGTGATTGTCTATCATGATACGGACGTAAACCTACATACGCAGTGCACTGTCTATTAATGCCTACTTCCGACTGCGATTCTATGTTGTGCGTGTCGCTCTCGTGTTACTAAACATTCAACCAGCTAGATAGGTACCGTTTCTGCGTGGTCTCCTGAATTATGTGTTAGCATACAGGTTGGCAATAGGTCCTGCCTGTAAGCGAATCAAACATTGCCCGGATACGTAATGTGTGCGTGTGGGTTTGTGGTGAGTGTTGGTTGGTTGGGTGTGTCTGCATCACATGCATGCATATTGTGCAATGGCGTGCACGGCCTTATATATTCCTGTAGGATTGCGATGCTGGCTGTGATTTCTCTAGTGTATGTGCTATGTGTGGTTGCTGTGATATAGCTAGAACTGTGCTGTGATTGCGTGTGAGTGCGTGTTTGTAAATGCGAAATGTAATTATATGGATAATCAGGTTTATTAGGTCGAATATTACGAGGACTATTTTTTTTTATTTTCTATTTGGGGAGAGAGGGAGGGGGGGAAAGAAAGACTGAGGATTTTTCTCTTTCTCTCTCTTTTTTTCATTCTCTATCTCCTCTGGTTCTCTTTCTCCTCTCTTTCTCCTTTCTTTTCTCTCTCTCTCTCCTCTCTTCTCTCTCTCTCTCTCTCTCTCTCTCTCTCTCTATCTCTCTCTCTCTCTCTCTCTCTCTCTCTCTCTCTCTCTTCTCTCTCTCTCTCTCTCTCTCTCTCTCTCTCTCTCTCTCTCTCTCTCTCTCTCTCTCTCTCTCTCTCTCTCTCTCTCTCTCTCTCTCTCTCTCTCTCTCTCTCTCCAGAAACTCAAACAATTCGTTCAACACTAATAAGAAATATACAATAAATTATTTGAACTTTTATGGATTTTACTAACGACACCATCCTACTCTTCCTCCTCCTCCTCCTTTTACTCCTCCTAATTCTCCGTCTTCTTCTTCTTTTTCCTCTTCTTTTCCACTTTTTTCTCCCTCCTTCACCTCCTCCTCTTTCCTCCACTTCTCCCCTCTCCTCCTTCTCCTTCTCCCCTTCCCTCTCCTCCTCTCCCTTTCCTCCTCCTCCTCCCACTCCCTCTTCTCCCACCTTTCCCCCCTCTCCTCCTTCTTCACCTCCCCCCTCTCCCGCTCCTACTCCCTTTCTTCCTCCTCCTCCTCCTCCTCCACCTCCTCCTCCTCCCTTTCCTCCTCCCCCCTCTCTCCCGCTCCTCCTCCCTTTCCTCCTCCTCCTTCATCCACAGAGGAATGCCAGTCACCAGTCTACGTGCCCGAGAAGGAGGACCCGCGCTACCCAACGACACCCACATGTACCCGCTGTGGATTGGCTGTGGATCCCGTGGTCAGGCGTCGGTACAACGATCTCTTTAACTTCACCAAAAAGAAACTTCACGCCATGGCCTCCGACGACCCTGGTATTCTTACGCACATAGAAATTCCTTCATAGACACAGTAGAAAATTCCTTCATAGACACACACAGTAGTTAGATTTATAGGGGAGTCCTTGTAATAGTCCTTGTAATAGTCCTTATGTAGTCCTTGTGTAGTCCTTATGTCTTGAGGGACCTAGGTAGGATGTATATGGAGTCCTTGCATATGGGTTATATGTACATATGAGTAGAAATTATATGGAGTCCTTTACACACACACACACACACACACACACACACACACACACACACACACACACACACACACACACACATACACACACACACACACAATACATACATACATACACATACACACACACACACACACACACACACACACACACACACAACACACACACACACACACACACCACACACACACACACACACATACATACATACATACATATATATATATATATATATATATATATATATATATATATATATATATATATATATATATATATATATATATGCAATAGCAGTATCTATATGGAGTCCTTATACATAAACGTTACATAGAAATGGGTAGGATTTACATAGCCCACATATGAACGTTATATACACATAAGTTATTTTATTTATTTATTTATCCGTTTGTTTTATATATTCATCTATATAATTTTCTGTCTATCTATCTATTTATCAAGTCATGAGTTATTTATCTAGGTGGATGCTATGGATTCCTTATATACATATGAACAGGATTTATGTTGATTTAGGATATTTTATGATTAAGTACATTTTATTGTATTTCGAATCCTGTTTGTGTTCACTAGGACAGATGTTTTTGTTTGTTCGTGAGCGAGTTGGTGAGTGAGCATGAATAAGTGGGAGAGTGAATGAGTGAGTGTGTGAATGGGTATTAAAGTGAGTGAGTGGTGAGTGTGTGAATGAGTATTAAAGTGAGTGAAATGGTGAGTGTGTAATGGTATTAAAGTGATAGTGTGTGATGGTATGTGAGTGAATGAATGTGTGAATGGGTATTAAAGTGAATGAATGAGTGTGTGTGAATGGGTATTAAAGTGAGTGAATGAGTGAGTGTGTGAATGGGTATTAAAGTGAGTGAATGAAGTGTGAATGGGTATTAAAGTGAGTGAGTGGGTGAGTGTGTAATGGGTATTAAAGTGTTGAGTGGGTGAGTGTGTGAATGGGTATTAAAGTGAGTGAGGGGTGAGTGTGTGATGAGTAATAAAGTGAGTGAGTGGGTGAGTGTGTGAATGAGTATTAAGAAAGTGGGTGAGTGGGTGAGTGGTGATGAGTATTAAGTGAGTGAGTGGTGAGTGGGTAATGAGTGTGAGTGAATGAGTGAGTGTGTAATAGTATAAAGTGAGTGAGTGGTGAGTGGGTGAATGAGTATTAAGTGAGTGAGTGAGTGAATGAGTGTGGTGAGTGGGTGAGTGGGTGAATGGGTATTAAAGTGAGTGAGTGGGTGAGTGTGTGAATGAATATTAAAGTGAGTAATAAAGTGAGTGTGTGAATGAGTATTAAAGTGAGTGAGTGGTGAGTGTGTGAAATGAGTATTAAAAGTGAGTGAGTGGGTGAGTTGTGAATGAGTATGTAAAGTGGTGAGTGTGTGATGAGTAATTAAAAGTGAGTGAGTGGGTGAGTGCGTGAATGGTATTGAGTGAGTGTGTAATGGGTATTAAAGTGATGAATGGGTGAGTGTGTGAATGAGTATTAAAGTTGAGTGGTGATGTGAGTGATTAAAGTGAGTGAGTGAGTGTGTGAATGGGTATTAAAGTGAGTGAGTGGGTGAGTGTGCGTGTAGTGAGTGAGTGTGTGAATGAGTATTAAAGTGAGTGAGTGAGTGTGTGAGAGTATTAGTGAGTGAGTGCGGTATTAAAGTGAGTGAGTGGGTGAGTGTGTGAATGGGTATTAAAGTGAGTGAGTGGGTGAGTGTGTGAATGAGTGAGTGAGTGAGTGAATGAGAGTGAGTGAGTGGGTGATGTGTGAATGAGTATTAAAGTGAGTGAGTGAGTGATGTGTGATGGGATGAGTGAGTGGGTGAGTGTGTGAATGAGTATTAAAGTGAGTGAGTGGGTGAGTGTGTGAATGGGTATAAAGTGAGTGAGTGAGTGTGGTGAATATTAAAGTGGATAAGTGTGATGAGTATTAAAGTGAGTGATGTGGGTGAGTGTGTGAATTGATGTGAGTGAGTGAATGAGTGAGAGTATTAAAGGAGTGAATGATTGAGTGGGTGTGAATGTGTGGGAGAGTGAGTGAGTAAGTGGGTGAGTGAGTGTGAATGAGTGAGCGAGTGGGAGAATAACTGAGCAAGAGTGAGAATGAAAGTGTGTAGGAGTAAGTGAGTCAGTAATGAGTGACAGTAGGAGAATGAGAGAATGAGAGCAAGAGCAAGAACAAGAGAAAACGGGAAAGAAAGAAAGAGAGAGAAAGAAAAAAAATATCCAACGAAACAATGAAGCTTATTAAACCATCCTTTTTCCTCTCTTCCCCTTCCTACTTTCCTCCCTTCCTTCCCTCCCCATACCCACCCTCTCTCTCCCTCCCTCCTCCCTCCCTTCCTCATACCCCCACATCCCCCCCCATACTTACCCTCCCTCCATACCCCCACTCCCCCACATCCACCCCCCATACCCCCACATCCTCCCCCATACCCACTCCCCTCTCCTTCCCTCCCCTCCTTACTCCTCTCTCTCACCCCTACCTCCTCCACCAATACCCCCTCCACCCCAACCCCCATTCTCAAAAAAAAAAAAAAAAAAAAAAAAACACCCCACCACCCCACCCACCCAACACCCCACACCCCCCCACACACAGACATAGAGATGTGCGTGGAGCTCCTGAAGCGGCAGGACGAGCTCTTCCACCCGATGAACGCGTGGCGGATCCGGACGATGGACTACGCCTTCAACGCCGCCGTCTTCGGGGGCTGCTGGAGCCTCGTCTACGAGTTCGGCGCCAAGAACCTCGACGGGATGAGGTGAGGGGGGAGATGAGGGGGGAGAAATGAGGTGTGAGGGATGTGAGGGGGGAAGGAAATGAGGGGGATGATGAGGGGGATGAGGTAAGAGGGGAATGAGGGGAAATGAGGTGGGAGAGAAATGAGGGAAATGAGGTATGAGGGATGTGAGGGGATGAAATGAGGGTGAGGTGATGAGGGATGTGAGGTGAGGAGGGGGAAATGAGGAGGGAAAGAAACGAGAAAATGAGGGGAAATGAGGTATGAGGGATGTGAGGTGAGAAAATGAGGGGAAATGAGGTATGAGGGATGTGAGGTGAGAAAATGAGGTATGAGGGTGAGGTGAGAAATGAGGTGAGGAAAAATGAGGGATGAGGGGAAATGAGGTGAGAAAATGAAGGGGAAATGAGGTGAGAAAATGAAGGGGAAATGAGGTATGAGGAGGGGATAAAATGAGGGGAAATGAGGTAAGAGAGAAATGAGTGGAGAAAATGAAGGGAAATGAGGTAAGAGGGGAAATAATGTAAGAAATGAGGGAAAATGAGGAGAAAATGAAGGGAATGAGAGGGTGTGAATTTGAGGATAGAGTGAGGAATGAGGAGGAAATAAGGGTAAATAAGGGGGTTATAAGGGAGAAGTGAGGGGATAAGGTAAGAGGGAAATGAGGCGAGAAAATGAAGGGGGAAGATTGGGGAAATGAGAGGGTGGAAATTATGAGGATAAAGTAAAGAATGAGGCAAAGTGAAGAAAAAGAAGGGAAAGTGAGGGGAAATTATGAGAAATGAGGAGACTGAAGGGAACTGAAGTTGGAAAGTGGAGGTAGTGAGTGAGGAATAGGGGAATGAGTGGATGATAATGAGATAAGGGGAGTGAAGGGAAACAGAATGGAGGATTATGAGGTAAGGGAGGAAAAAAATGAGGGGTCTTATGCAAGAAGATGAAAAGTGGAGATGTGAGGGTAGATGACATGTAACGAAAGAGGAATTATGAGGTACGGAGAGAGGAAGGGAGATAGGAAGAGGATTATTAGGGTCGTGTGGTATAGGAAATGAGTTTGGGAGGGGGAGGAGGAGAGGAAGAGAAAATTGAAAGAGAAAGCAGGGAAACTGACAGACAGACTGGCAGACAAGCAAACAAACAAAAAACAAGCAAACAGACAGACACAGAGACACACACAGACAGACATAAACAAACAGAGAAATGGACAACCAAACAGAGAGAAGGAAAAGGAAGAAAGGAGAGCTAAAAACACACATCCATACGAGAGAGACAGAGAGACATACAGACAAACAGACACGGACAGACAACCAGACCTACAGACCCAGTGACGAAAGGAGAGACGCCCAATTAGACCCAAAGTTTCCTAATTTGGGCATCCTGTAGGACCGTATAGGAAGGTATGGGGACTTACTTATTAAACCTATCAAGTCTCCCTTCAGATCTTGTTTTGATTTGATGAACATGTCAAATCACGGGTCTTTCCATTCCGATATGTCATCATGATGGCTTATTTCTCTCTCTGGGAACTTTGAACTTGTATTCTATATTTGGAAGTGTAGATGAGGATTAATTGGGTCTGTGTGATTATAGGGTTAGGGTGTAGGGTTTATTGTGCGTGTTCATATACACACTCACTCGCCCTTATGCTTATGTTGTCTGTTATTGTCACTCTCTCACTCTCACGCTTATTCGCACTCACTCGCTTACGTTCAGTCTCATTTTAATGCTTATGCTCACAATCATATTCTCTCTGTTCTGTCTCTGTCCTCTCTCTCTCTGTCTGTCTCTGTCTGTTTCTCTCTCTCTTCTCTCTCTCTCTCTTCTCTCTCTCTCTCCTCTCTCTCTCTCTCTCTCTCTCTCTCTCTCTCTCTCTCTCTCTCTCTCTCTCTCCTCTCTCTCTCTCTCTCTCTCCTCTCTCTCTCTCTGCTTTTGTCGCTGCAGTTATCTTCAGTAATCTTCGTCATTGTCGCCATCTGCCTCATTGTTATGATCATGACATTCATTATTACTATTGTTATTAACATCACAAGTATTATAGATAGTTGAAATGTAGATAAATAGACAGACTATACAGCAGATAATCGACCAGATTGACAGACTGATAGCCGATAAATAAAGACAGACATACAGACAGACGAAATTTCATTTGCTGTGTATGAGCCAAAATAACCAACACGACCCACCCTTCTAGGTATTATTACGGCTCAGAGCACCCTGTCTTCGCCCTCTTCCTCCTGAAGCTGGGGAAGGCGAAGATCTACCTGAAGCTTTTCCGAGAAGGCCTGCAGCACCTGGAGGAAGCGGAGCCCGTGCTGAGGAGGGCCTACGGAAGCACGCACTACCTGATCACGGAGGAGCTGAGTCCTCTGGGTCTCCTGGCGAACGAGGACATCGAGATCGCCCTCGAGAGACGTCTTCGGGCCTGGAAGAAGCGCGAGGAGGTCGAGGAAGCCAAGAAGTTGGAGAAGAAGCTGCAGGACTTCCTCGAAATCGGCACGCGGTCGGGGACGCAGCGCTTTCGAGGGTCACTGTCCTAAACTTCTCTTTTCCTCTCCTTTTAGTCATGTCGGAGGTTGTCTCAGCCTCCCGTTTAGTCTCATAGTCTCGTTGTCGTAGTCGTTCCTCCAATCACATCGGAGTTCGTCGTTATAGCACCCCCTTTAAGTCGTACCGGGGCTTGTTTTCACAATATCCGGCCCCAGCAGCTTATCGAGGGTCTTTGTCATAGTCCCCCCTTTAAAACACACCGAAGCTCCGTTTTCTCTCTTCGACAAGACGGATATTTTTATACACACGCTCCCTAAGCATCGCCGAATCGGATTATGTAATCGGGGAAGAAAAACGTCTTTCAATCGTCTTAAGTAAAAATCAGAAACAAAATATAAGCGGCACCGAACGTCAGCTGATTTGAATGGAGGGATTAAATGCATACATGAAAACACTGATAGAATTTACCTTTAGATTTACCAGCTTCACTGACCAACAACAATTAATTACGGATTCATGTAGGTGATATTAGTTCTTTTCCAGAAATGATCTGCTGTGTGTCTCTTCTGCATTTCTTTTTTCTTCTTTAATTTGTTATTTATTCTTTCATTCGATATGTTCCTGTATCTGTTT